TTGGGCTTCTCTGACATGTCCAAGGTTTATGTCTTCCGCGGCTCCAAGGAGATTCCCGCCGATCAGGTTCTCGATCAGCTAGGCCTTTCTACTCCCGGGAGAAGACCTCACAAGACCTCCCCTGGGGTCGCCGGCGCCGGTGCCGGGGGATTACCAAGTTCCGGCATCACACGCTTCTTGCTGCCTGCTTCTGAGTGTGAATATACTCTCAATGCGGTATTTGTTTATGGATTTTACTGCCTCGTGGTTTCAATGCTGTAGATGGTTTACAGATTCGTTATTTGTGCCTCTTTTTTTTGCAGCTGTTAGATGAATTACAGACTGATCAGTGGCCGGTTCCGCCTGGGCGCCGCCCTGCGCGCTGCACTGGGGTTGCTTTGAATGTTGCTGCGGGGTTGCTGAGTGCTTGTACTCCTGGGACTGGCGCTAGAATCATAGCTTTGGTTGGGGGGCCGTGCACGGAAGGACCTGGGGCGGTAAATTGCTGTTCTGTTCTTAGTTGTGTAATTGGATGACATTTTCTCTGTTAGGGTAGTGAAAATTGAGCTGGTGTTGGGGAGGTATTCTGCATTTATCAAATTTTATGTTAGGAGTATGTGACCGTCCGAAGGGTGCGGTTTTGCTTTGATGCTATGTGACTTGGCAGCAGTTAAGTGTCACGGGGGGTGCTTGTCTTTGAAGACACTACTCTTAAAATTGGCTTATGGTGTGCAAAATTTTGATATTTGTGCTTTGTCACTTGCTAGAAGCAAAGGATTTTGAAATATGTTAAGAACTATAGTTATAGTTGTTTCAAAGGTAGTAAGGAATTAGGCATCCTGCTGTTACTGTTTCTTAGGATATTCCTAAGATTGATTTCTTCATTCAAGTGTCACTGGGATTTTGGACAAAGAAAAACTGGGGGAAATTCTTGTGTCTGTCTTAGTCTAGAGCTGAAAGGACTAAAGATTTTATGGGAAACTTTGAATACGCAGAAGGAACCGTTGTTTATGCTATGCATGCTGGGTGTTTCTGGTGATTCAGATTTCATTTTTCTTTCCTTTGCAGATTGTTTCAAAAGATCTGTCTGACCCAGTGCGCTCTCATAAAGATCTTGATAAAGATGCAGCACCATACTTCAAGAAAGCAGTCAAGTTTTATGAAGGTCTCGCTAAACAGCTGGTTAGCCAGGGTCATGTGTTAGACATGTTTGCATCAGCACTTGATCAGGTTTGTGCCTGCATATACTAATATTCTCATACCTTAAGAATTCTTTCACTTGCAGTGCTGCTGATAGATTTCACAAAGTGAGACTTTGAAGAACGTAGTGAGTTCTGATAATCAAGCCCCTTTTTCCTTAATTTAATTTCATCAAATGCCTTACATCTTATTTTACATTGACGGACTAAGTAGATTCATGTGGTTATGCAAAATTTTTTACAGGCTTATTTGATTAGATATTCCTAATTAAATTCGTTTCCCTGTCACTGGAAACACATGGCTACATGACCTGTGAAGCTATATTTCAATATGGTTAATTAATGTGTCACTTCCATCCATCTGGGTGATTGTATGATGGCATCATGGTTTTCATTTATTTTTCTGCTTAAGAGAAATTCTGGTTGTGTTTTAATTTTTTATTTAATTTTATTTTTTGTGATTGACTTTATTATGGGTATGCAAGAAAGTTCTTGTTTATATTGTGCAGTGGGTATGCATGAATTTGAGTTTGTAATTTTGTCAGAATGTTACATTGAAAAACAATTTGGATCTAATTCTGTCCTGTGCTGAATTGTAAATGCTTTAAATAAAAAGGTTGGAGTTGCAGAAATTAAAGTTGCGGTTGAACGAACTGGTGGTCTTGTTGTCCTGGCTGAAAGTTTTGGTCATTCAGTCTTCAAGGACTCTTTTAAACGAGTTTTTGAGGATGGGGAACAATCTCTTGGTCTTTGTTTCAAGTGAGAATTCGTTCATTTTAAATGCTATACTGACATTTTCATTTTTGTGAATGTGTTTTCATTTTTCTCTTCCCTTGTCTCTTATTTTCTTCAGACATTTTTCCATTATCTGTTATCAGATATGTCACTGCCATCTTTATTTATGTTTCAGTGGAACCCTGGAGATAAATTGCTCCAAGGAAATCAAAATTCAGGGGGTGATCGGGCCTTGCACTTCCTTGGAAAAGGTTGGATATTCTTTTGTTTGAAACTCTTAATTCTGTGTTGCTTCTTAACTCTGGAGTTGGAGTTGGTAGTTGGTCAACCAAAGTAACAGAACTAAGACTGAATAAATGTGGTTTTTCTTGATTTTTATGATTACAATCCTACTGCAGAAAGGGCCTTCTGTTGCTGATACTGTTATAGGTGAGGGAAACACAACAGCATGGAAGATGTGTGGCCTTGACAAGAGCACATGCTTGACTGTGATGTTTGATCTTTCATCAAGTGAGCGGACAAACACCCCAGGTGCTGTCAACCCACAATTGTACCTACAGTTTCTTACAAGGTTATGTCTCATAACTTCTACTAATATGATCTCACTCATATACTATTTTGTATCTAGTTGCACTTATGCACTAGCAATTGAATGTTAATGCTCATGTTCGTATTGCAGCTACCAGGACCCAAGTGGTCAATCAGTGCTTCGTGTCACGACAGTAACTAGAAGATGGGTAGATAGTACTGTTAGCTCTGAGGTAGTTTCAGCCTTTTTTTAATATCTTTAACGGATGCCTGTCTGTTGTCATTGTCAAAGTAATATTTGGAGCGCCGACAATTATCATGATATTAAGAAAGCTTTAATGTTTTTCCCTTTACTCTTGTTTCTTGCTGTCAATTGTCTAGTCCAACTCTCATGTTATGTCATATGCTGATACCTATCCAAATCTATTTACATTTATGGGTGTTCATTGTGTATATCTATGTAATAGACTGAATTGAGTTAGTTTAGTTCCTACATATGCATTATTTTCCGTGTAGGACAATTATTTATTAGCAATGAAATTGTTAGATTGATAAGCCCATGGTTTTTAATTACTTTTATCATTTTTCTCTTCAGGAATTGGTTCAAGGATTTGACCAAGAAACTGCAGCAGTTGTAATGGCTAGATTTGCTTCTCTAAAAATGGAGAGTGAGGTATGTCACAAGTTGTGTTATTACTCGTTTATTTGGTATTCCTAAAAGAATTTAAGACCATAAATATAATTTTTTTGTCAAGCTTTTTTAGTAAATTATACAATATCTTCATTCAATTTGTGATTGCTTTTTGGAAAAACATAAAATTCGGTGACTAGGTGTATATTGCTGTTTTGATGAAAGTTGTAAGTGTATAAATGTGTATTTCACAACTCGCTGCAAATAACCAGTTTATCAAATTTCAAATCCTTGGTTGTGGGGCATGGAATAGTTGTTGCTCTTAATAAATAACTTATCTTGTATTAGTAACTATTTATTAGTTCTGCATTAGAAACAACATTATGGTAATTCATAGAAAATAACTGATGAAAGTTATGTATTATGTATTAAGATATATCTTATGATAGTGGTGTAATTAGGCAACTAGGTTGTAATTTGTAGTTTGTGGACAAAATATACTGTTTCTGGGACTGCAATTGTGTTGCTGTATTGAGTGTGATTTTTATTTTCAAAATTAAATTTTATTAGTTTTTGAATTGGTATTCTATCACATCACATCTGTGGCAAAATTTCTTTAGTTAAACTTCCTATAAACTAATCCCTTGCTAACCATTCATTTTTGTTTGATCAGGAAACATTTGATGCTACACGGTGGTTGGATCGGTTTCTCATTCGCCTCTGTTCTAAATTTGGTGACTATCGCAAGGATGATCCATCATCTTTTACATTAAACCCATCATTTTCACTTTTTCCTCAGTTTATGTTCAATCTGCGCCGCTCACAGTTTGTACAGGTAGTTTTTGTTGTAATTTTCTTCCTGTCCCGCTTTTAAAATTTTATTTAACTTCTTTGGTGTTGATATGTGTGTGTTGGCAGGTCTTTAACAACAGTCCAGACGAGACTGCATATTTTCGCATGTTGTTAAACAGGGAAAATATTAGTAATGCTGCTGTTATGATTCAGCCATCACTGATAGCGTATTCATTTAATTCACTCCCCGCACCAGCATTTTTAGATGTGGCTTCCATTGCTGCAGACCGGATTTTGTTGCTAGATTCATATTTTAGTGTGGTTATTTTTCATGGGATGACAATAGCTCAATGGCGCAACTTGGGATACCAGAACCAGCCAGAACACCAGGTTTTTATTTTGTCACATCCTGCCAAAGAAATCATTGTTACCTGCAAATTATGTCTCAAATTGATTTTAAGATTTTATAATATATTTTTATATTTTTCTAGTTATGGTTTCTTCAGATTTATTTTAAAGTTATTTTATTCAGGGCCATTTTTCTAATTACTATTTTTTCTTGCTTTGCTGATAACTTTAATATATGGCACAGGCATTTGCACAGCTATTACGTGCTCCGCATGATGATTCCCAAATGATAATTAGAGAACGGTTCCCAGTTCCTAGATTGGTTGTGTGTGACCAACACGGTTCCCAGGTCAGTATAATTTACCAAGACCAGTTTGAGTGTTATATGTCTCAATTAACTGTTACGGTTACTTTTCCTCCCATTTCACCTCATAACATATTAACAGTTTTTTTGTTCATTTCATTGATTCACCAAGGTTAGATTTGTAGTCATCTTGAAACTTACTGGGTTCTCATTGATGTTTAACAGGCTAGATTTTTATTAGCAAAACTGAATCCCTCAGCAACGTATAATAATGCACATGAGATGTCCGCTGGTTCAGATGTAATCTTTACTGATGATGTGAGCCTTCAAGTTTTCTTTGAGCATCTGCAAAGGTTGGCTGTCCAATCTTGAAAACAGATAATAGTAGAGATTGAGATTTTATGGGTTCTGTCTGGACTTTGGTTTGGGGAATTCACCAATCATGTTTGTGTCCTGCGTTGTGCTGTTGCATTCAATACTTTTCCTTTCTTCCCTTTGTTCTTAAAAAGGAGAAGGTCGGAGCCTACATGAATTGAAGAATAAGGAAGACCTGAAACATGATTCTTTAAGGTTCTGGTCGATTTTTCTTTTTGTGGAGAAAATAAAGGGTTGGAAAGTATGTAAGTTTGGGTATTGTGCGGAAAGAAAAGATAGATAATGGAGTTAGGAGACCATCTATGCGACAGCAGCTTAGCAAATGAGGGATATATTTTTGACTCAGTTTTTTCTGTTTGTTTTGGCCCAGATCTGAATTTTTGGGTTCCTCAGCTGGATTAATTTATATAGTTCTTTTACTTTTATATGTTCCCCAGGTAGCAAAGTAACGAAAGTCATTTTTCTGATGTTGAGTTTGATATCATTCTCTTGATACTGTTTTGTATTGTATATTGTGAAGTAAGCTTATAGGACCCCATCTCTGTGAAATTGATACTTTGGCTGCCCTCTGTTCTATTACTTCCAACCCTGCATGAAGAGGGACATGCTTAAATATGGTTTTCTTTTACTTCAAATAAAGTTTTACAAAAATTTCTAGATTAATTTAGTTCTTATTAATTTTTTAAAATCTAAAAAAATGTTATAATATCGTGTTGTGACATGTATGTCATGCTAGTGATTATACTTTGATGTAGTACATGACATTTACGATTTAGACGCATTTCTAAAAAATAGTAAGTGGCAGTAGAATTATTTTCTGAACTTTTAAAATTTATGATGTCCAAAATTACTGCGGAAAGATTGGACGATTTAAATACAGAAAATGAAAGCATTTTTTACTTGAAGCAAAAATAGGAGTTCTCTAAGGAGACATTTCTCATAAAGTTTTTGTACATTCAAGAAAGTGATACGAATAAAAGTGAGAAAATGAAATAGATTAACAGTAGTGATTTGTAGGTATGTTTATAGCTGAATTGCAAAACTGGCCTAAATTGAAAATTAATTCAATCGAAAGCTACGATAGTGTAACTTTTCTATTTGGGTTTTGTGCCCATGTTTTTGTTCATGTGACATTTACTATTTTAAACTTCCAATTTATTTTTATAAATAATTTGAAATAAGGAATTTTAAATATTTATAACAATATGCTATTTGAGTAAAATTTTTAAAATAAAATGAACTTATAAAAATTTATTTGATAAATTTAATTACTTAAAATTGTAGAATTTCAAATTTATATTAGAACTTTATTTCTTTTATAATTTTTTTTCATAATTGTGTCTCCTTTGTTCCTATTTTTTATTGCAAGGTTATTTTGTTTGCGATAAATATTTTCATTTAAAATTATTTTATTATTTTTAGAATATTTTATAGTATTAATTGTCTAAAAATTAGTCTAAACTATAGTTTAACAATTATAAGGACAACCTAAAATTAACACGAGTAAAATAAATACAAAATTGACATGAGTAAAATAAATACAAATCAAATACATTACGAATGGAATTACAAATATAAAATTGAATAAATAATATCCAATTATTCTTCTCATTAAGGCTTGTGACGATAAAGTTATTATTAAGCAGAAACAGTATCGAATAGGTATAATATTGATGTACATTTATTTATTTTCTCTATTTATGATCTACACGAGTAATAAAATAACAATTTTATCCTCTAGTAAAAATAGTTGTATTTACTATTTTATTTGCTTGAAAAAAATGATAATTGAAATATAAGACAACTAAATTCCTAAGAAATAAATAAAAGATTATTAAAAATAGAAATGAAGTGATAAAATCCAAATTCTGAACGTTACAGCAGCAAGCCTATGCAACATTTTGCATAAGGACAATTTTTTTCTGCATCTCCATAATTTTGGCCCTGCGATTCATAGATATGAAAATTTTTATTTCGATATTTGAAGCTAAAAATACTTTCGAATTACAAAGCCATATTTTTTATAAATACAGAACTGGACAAATAAAAAAAAGGGTAAAATGAAAATTTTAACACTCATAGAATGCCGGGACGAAATATGAAGGTGTAGAAAGAATTGGGCTTTGCAAAGTGGTGGCTTCGACAGGCCCAATTGTGACACGAAGCTCATCAGAAAGAGCTTAACTAACTACCAGTTCAATTTAAAAATCAGCTTGGCGCCAAAAAAGCGAAAGCATTAGCAGCAGCGTTCTGGTGATTGGTGAGTGCAAAGAAGAGAATGTACTGGTGCAGCGATTCACGCAATGTGGACGTTGTTGACGCTGACGACGAGGGATTTCCAGTTTCATGTTCTCAGGGCCATCGATCTTCGTTGAATCTCCAAACTCACGACGGCGCTTCCATCTGCCTCGTCTGCTTCTCCAACCTCCTCTCCAATCCTCTCTCCCCAACCGTCCATGTCTCCTACGCTCTCTCCCAGATCTCTCGATCCCTCTCACTGCCTCACTTCCTTCAACCGCTTCTCACATTCCATCCTCATTTTCTTCTTTCGCCTCTCGTCGCCGCCCTCTCCTCCTTCCACGACGAGCCGATCGCTGCACAGCTCACACATCTCATCCTCGCCCTCTCCGCGTCCGCGGACCCTTCCGTTTCCTGCGAATTCGTCTCTAGGGTTTCCGATCGCATCACTTCCGGTGCTTTCGGTTGGTCTTCCCCTCAGCTGCACTTGGTGATTTCCATTTCCCTTACTCAGTTTTAATTTCCCTTCTGCTTCTTAGAAGGTCAACTTATCTGTGGAGATCCACATTGCTACATAACTTTGCACAATAGCAAGAGGATCTGTACAGAGTCGAGATGTACCATAAAATAAAGATGCTACTCTAAAATGAAGAGTTTAGTTTTTTATACGTAGCGCCATCATAATTTTTTTACTTTCTCAATTAGCAGTTTGAATAAATCTTTGTGTAGCCATTTATAAGTAGAAAGTAAGACAACGAATAAGATAAATTTAGCTTTCTTCGCTAGCTAAAAATCAATTTATATAATTACTATTTCATAAACTGAAGTGCTTTAGTTTATTTTAACTTTATTAAAACATTGAATTCATTTTTTAAAAGTGTTTATAAGACTAGTTTATCCAAACATAACTTAAGAATCATCCTAGATATCATTAAATTTAAGGTTATTATTACAGAAGTTAATAATCTTATTATACATAATGTGCTAGTCTTTATATTCTAATTAAATTCTAAAATGAAAGGAAACTTTTATGGATTGTTTCTACTGTTCCGAATGGACAGCTTCACTGCCTTGGGGCTCTTCTGAATGGTGAGAAGGGAGATGATCTCCATAAACAGATAAAAGACATTGGTAACCTCATTTCTGTTCTTGTTACGGGCCTTCAGTTGCCGAGGTATTGTTCACATATATTATGTATTGGATGCTATATTGTCGACTTTCTGTACCGTTGAATTTAAAATTTATTTCACTTGGTAAGTCCTTTGCTCGCTCGGTGCAGTGAGGAGATTCGAGGGGAGGTCCTCTTTGTCCTTTATAAACTATCTGTTCTTGAGAGTACTTCAGCAGAGGCAGATGGAAGCGATATGTTGATTCCCTTTTGTCCACAGATCTTGTACCTGTTGGTCGATGTGCTCATGAAGACTCAAAATGACGATGTTCGCATGAATTGTATTGGTCCGTTATCAAGTTTATTTTTGTTCCTTGAAAAGAAAACTTGAAACTTCGTTTTGGTTGTCTTGTTCGTTTTAAGTCTTTCTTTTCGTGAAGCCTATTTTGGACCGGTAGAGTAGAGATTGACATTAGGACGTTATCTCAAAAGGATTTTGTTATTTGTCTCATGGATACTCAACTACAGAACTACTCAGTAATAGATAGAAACAAAGGTGGTATAAAACACGACACTTTTAAAGGTGCAATTGCATGTTGATAATATGAAGACAAAAAACACTGACATGCATTGCATCACATCTGATGTCTGTATCATGAATTTCAATGGAAAGGTTGATTACCTGCCCGTATCTTTCTCTTCAAGAGTTTGCATCCTTATCCTACATCATTCGAATCACCAAAGTTTCTGGCGTAATGAACGAGTGGTTAATGTTAACAATTCTAAGTCTGGATAAAAGTCAGTTTGGCCATAGTTCACAGTATAGANATAACAATATGCTATTTGAGTAAAATTTTTAAAATAAAATGAACTTATAAAAATTTATTTGATAAATTTAATTACTTAAAATTGTAGAATTTCAAAATTATATTAGAACTTTATTTCTTTTATAATTTTTTTTCATAATTGTGTCTCCTTTGTTCCTATTTTTTATTGCAAGGTTATTTTGTTTGCGATAAATATTTTCATTTAAAATTATTTATTATTATTTTTAGAATATTTTATAGTATTAATTGTCTAAAAATTAGTCTAAACTATAGTTTAACAATTATAAGGACAACCTAAAATTAACACGAGTAAAATAAATATAAAATTGACATGAGTAAAATAAATACAAATCAAATACATTACGAATGGAATTACAAATATAAAATTGAATAAATAATATCCAATTATTCTTCTCATTAAGGCTTGTGACGATAAAGTTATTATTAAGCAGAAATAGTATCGAATAGGTATAATATTGATGTACATTTATTTATTTTCTCTATTTATGATCTACACGAGTAATAAAATAACAATTTTATCCTCTAGTAAAAATAGTTGTATTTACTATTTTATTTGCTTGAAAAAAATAATAATTGAAATATAAGACAACTAAATTCCTAAGAAATAAATAAAAGATTATTAAAAATAGAAATGAAGTAATAAAATCCAAATTCTGAACGTTACAGCAGCAAGCCTATGCAACATTTTGCATAAGGACAATTTTTTTCTGCATCTCCATAATTTTGGCCCTGCGATTCATAGATATGAAAATTTTTATTTCGACATTTGAAGCTAAAAATACTTTCGAATTACAAAGCCATATTTTTTATAAATACAGAACTGGACAAATAAAAAAAAGGGTAAAATGAAAATTTTAACACTCATAGAATGCCGGGTCGAAATATGAAGGTGTAGAAAGAATTGGGCTTTGCAAAGTGGTGGCTTCGACAGGCCCAATTGTGACACGAAGCTCATCAGAAAGAGCTTAACTAACTACCAGTTCAATTTAAAAATCAGCTTGGCGCCAAAAAAGCGAAAGCATTAGCAGCAGCGTTCTGGTGATTGGTGAGTGCAAAGAAGAGAATGTACTGGTGCAGCGATTCACGCAATGTGGACGTTGTTGACGCTGACGACGAGGGATTTCCAGTTTCATGTTCTCAGGGCCATCGATCTTCGTTGAATCTCCAAACTCACGACGGCGCTTCCATCTGCCTCGTCTGCTTCTCCAACCTCCTCTCCAATCCTCTCTCCCCAACCGTCCATGTCTCCTACGCTCTCTCCCAGATCTCTCGATCCCTCTCACTGCCTCACTTCCTTCAACCGCTTCTCACATTCCATCCTCATTTTCTTCTTTCGCCTCTCGTCGCCGC